ACCCCCGTTTTCCTCCCCCCCCTTTCCCCCCCCCCCCCCAAGTCCTGTCCCTGCTCCTCCCTCCCTCCCAGCATGATCCTACTTCTTCCTGTCCCTCCCACTCCTTCTCCCCCAAGTGCACCCCATCCCCACTCCTCCCCTGCACTCCTGAAGCTTCCAGAATGCCGCAAACCAGTTGTTCATGGTGTTCTGGAAGCACTGGGAGGGCAGGGGAGGAGTTGGTCAGTGGGCCAATCAACGGGAAAGAGGTGCAGGGGGAAAGGAAGCAGAGGGGGAGCTTAGCTGCCAGTGGGATGTTAAAAAGCAGTTAGGAAGCGAATCGAGTAGTCGATGGAATTTCCATCGACTACTCGATTGATCAATAAGGGGGTTCACTGCACCTCTGCTTTTTCAATGTAGTAAGAACCCAGAGGCTCTTACTACATTGAAAAAGCAGAGGTGCAGCATCTGGGACCTGGCACAAGGTGGGACAGCTGAGTCTGGGCTCGTGCCATTTCCCCCGCTGCGTCTTTGGCTTTTAAGCCAGCTCCTCCCTCCCCACTTGCTGCCTCTGATACAACAGCCTCTGGCAAGGAATTCCACAAATTGATATAGAGGCAAGCAAGGGGGGAAGCAACTAGTCAAGTAGTGACACAACTATCAGATAAACCTAGGATTACTGGGTAGTCAATTAGTCACTTACATCCCTATTCTGCACTCACTAATTTACCCCCCATCGGTGCTCCAACCCTAAAGCACCCATGGAGTCGGCGCCTATGCTCCCTACCCCTTTTGGTTCCCGCCCTCCCCCGATATTTTGAACAGAGTGTTTGACTTTCGTCAACTCTCGCTTCTAAATTTGAAATCTCTGTTCTTTAGAGACAAGCCAGACAGCATGAGCTGGAGACATTTGTGAAACTTTAAGTCTGTAGAAAGAGTTAACATAAGAACGGCCATATCGGGTCAGCCCAAAGGTCCATCTAGCCCAGTAGCCTGTCCACCGACAGTGGCCAATTCCTAGTGCTCCAGAGGGAATGAACAGAACAGGGAATCATCAAATGATACAATTATATCCAACTGGCCAAATGCCAGTAGCCCTTACCTACGGTAGCTACTGTGGCAGAGGCCGTGGAAAGAAACGTCTTCCCCCAGCTCCCCCAGTATCTCCATCCTGTCTGATACGCGCCAGTGGAGTCAGAGCCCTTCAATTAGAGAAACAGAGATGAAAGATGGCAAAGTGACTGATTGTGCTCTGAACTGCAGCTCTTGTGAGCCTCTTCTTTAACAGCAGCCACAACCACACTGAACGTCAGCCAACATGGACACACAAAGCATCTCTCTCTAGGACAACCTCCTGGATCTTTATGTATCATGTAATTCTGCAGGGTTAAACTCACCCTCCTGCAAGAAGACCATAACAAGTAAACACAGCAATTGCAACACTATCAGACCCGTGGTCTATCTTACTCAGAATCCTGTCTCAGACAGTGACCAGTATTAGATGTTTCAGAGGAAAGTGCAAAATCCTTTCCAATGAATGGTTCTTCCTAAACACTAGGTGGAGCATTAATTCAGATTTGGGAGGGCAGGAATTTGGACACTACTGTACTAGTGTTAAAAAGGAAGGAAGGAAGAAAGAGGGAGAGCAGGAAGCATTAATGCTGGTACCCTGTTATCTTCCTCTTCTGCAGACCACCCTCAGAAAGTATGTGCAATACCCACATTTAATAGCGAGCTATCCAGCGTGTATCTGTCCTTACAGTACATAAGAACGGCCATACTGGGTCAGACCAAAGCTCCATCTAGCCCAGTATCTGGTCACTCGACAGTGGCCAATGCCAGATGCCCCAGAGGGAGTGAACAGAACAGAGAATCATCAAGCGATCCCTCTCCCATCGCTCATTCCCAGCTTCTGACAGAGGCTAGGGACACCATTCCTACCCATTCTGGCTAATAAGTATCGATGGTCCTAACCTCCATGAATTTATCTAATTCTTTTTTGAACCCTGTTAAAGTCCTGGTCTTCAGCACATCCTCTGGCAAGGAGTTCCACAGGTTGACTGTGCACTGCGTGAAGAAAAACTGCCTTTTGTTTGTTTTAAACTTCACTCTACTTTAAGGAAAAAAGAAATGGGATTGCAAAATACGAGGGGGTTAAGGAATGGAAGCAGGAAAGAAGGCAGGAAAAAGGAAATTGATCTCTGAACTTTTAAAACCGTGGTGCCCAACATGCTAGCTACTAACCACATGTGGTTATTTGGCCAGCTGAGTGTGTCTAGTTTGTTATAGCAGTAGCTCCTGCTCACGGCTATAAAAAAACTCATTCCCCAAGCTACGCCGTACCTTTCTAGTACAGTCAGTGTTCTAATTTCGTGTTTCCACCCTCATCTAAGCCCCTATGGGAAGAAGCCTGTTCTTAGCTAGCCTATCTCTGGAGTTCTACTATAATGCCATGGGGTGTATATATGGGGAGAAGCCAGGGTACATTCAGAGACCCAACTGCCAAGTTTCATGCAAAACCAATTCAACCGAATGCTATTTAAAACCATGCATGTTCAGCATCGCTCAGTCTGACACGGTATTCTACCACTACGCTAGCTACGAACTAATGGGAAAGCACTTCAATCATTGTTTCCAACACAGCCAGGATTCTGCTGTGTTCAAAGTTTGGGCAATTTGCCAATCTGCATGTTCAAAGCACCAGTACAGAGACATACTTTGTGGACGTGATCCCCCGGCTCTTCTGCAGGAAGAGGCTCGCTGGAGGGTTTGGCTTCAGGTCTTTTCCGAGTCAAAGTCACAGGTTCACCCTCTTCCCTACGGCTGCTCTCCACGGATCCAGCTCCTTCCACGCTCTGTCTATTCTCATCACTCTGGGAGGCACCTGCTTTCGGACTTTCCATGCCATCTTTGTCAGACATCGCTAGAACATCTCCTAGAAAGTCAAGTGATTCCAAGAATAACAATCCCCCCCATGGATATTTTTGATATTCCTTTAAAATGCTACAGTCCTCTCCTGCCTGACTCAGTGAGAAGGAGTTGTTATTCTCTTCCTCTCTACAGATATATGCTCCCAATCACTTTCCATATGTCAATGAATTTTTTGGGAAACAAGGTGGGTGAGGGAATATCTTTTATTAGACCCGCTTCTGTTAGCGGACGGGACAAGCTTTTAAGCTACGCCAAGCACTTCTTCTGGCCTGGAGAAGGAAGCAGAATTCTCTCAGTCAGTCTGAGCTATACATGACTGACAGGAAACTGGACGACAGGACTTTAAACTTCCAAATGCAATAGCTCACTATCTAACAGCGACACCCTCCCAATAGGAAAGGAACCGGGCAATATCGCTAAGTGCTGCACACAAGTACAAAGGGTGTGTGGATAGTCTATGGCTTGTCTCACTAATGCAGACAGCTTTGGTGGCCTGTTTTCAAAACGCATTTGCCAAATGGGAAAGAATAGCACAAGTCAAACTTGGGCAGTTGAATAAGTTGCAGCATGTTCATTGGAGTGTTGTGCATTTATGGCAAAGCTTTTTAAAAGTGTACAAACAAACTGGGGGTTCAAAGCCATGGCAACCATAACTGACACTTTGCATTTGAAGACCCAGGTTGCCATGCAAATTCAACTGCTTGCTAAGGACCACTGCTTGGAAGTGAGAGCACAAGTCAAACTTGGGCAGTTGAATAAGTTGCAGCATGTTCATTGGAGTGTTGTGCATTTATGGCAAAGCTTTTTAAAAGTGTACAAACAAACTGGGGGTTCAAAGCCATGGCAACCATAACTGACACTTTGCATTTGAAGACCCAGGTTGCCATGCAAATTCAACTGCTTGCTAAGGACCACTGCTTGGAAGTGAGATCT